ATGTATGCACTAGTGCTGTCAAACGATTAATCGCGATTAATCGCATCCAAAATAAAAGTTTTGTGATAAATAAAATTAAATAAAAGTGTGTGTACTGTGTATATTTATTATGAATATATAAAGACACACACATACAGTATATATTTTGAAAATATTTACATGCGTATATTTATATTAATATAATTTATATTATATATAAATACATTTAATATAACATATTTTTCTTAAATATATACATGCATGTGTGTGTGTATTTATATATACATAATAAATATACACAGTATATACACACATACGTATATTATGTACACAAAAGCTTTTATTTTGGATGCGATTAATCGCGATTAATCGTTTGACAGCACTAGATTATCACAACGATACTACAAACATACATTCTACGAATGTTTTCTTTTTACTTTAAGTTAGAATTTTAATCATTTTGTTACGTATTCCAGTCATATTATTAGTGTTTTTTAATCTATAAAAAATGTATTATTTCAAATCTCATCTAAATCTGTCTACATAGTATTTATTAATTTGTATTTCAGTTAGTTATTTTAGTACTTCAACACTGTAAAAAATGACTTCAAAGCTGTAAATAAAGCAAAGCTTATTGGAATTTTATTTTTTTTACATAAAATACAGTTTTTCTGCTTTTTTAAAAAAAAAGTTTCATGTTTTCCCTGCTGTTTTGTAATTGTTTGTGAAATTTAACAGCAAAAAAAATTGCATTTTTTTTTAATTGCATTTAATGTTTATTTTATTTCAGGGAACAAAATAATATATATATATATATATATATATATTTTTTTTTAGTTTTTTTTTTTAGTTTTTTTAGTTTTTGTTAACAATAATAACCCTGATTAAAACACAAAAATGGATCACATTGTTATTGTTTTTTCAACACTGTAAAAAATGACTTCAAAGCTGTAAATAAAGCAAAGCTTTTTTTTTTTTTTACATAAAATAGTTTTTCTGCTTTATGTTTAAAATGTTTCATGTTTTCCCTGCTGTTTTGTAATTGTTTGTGAAATTTACCAGCAAAAAAAAAAAAAAAAAAAATTTTTTTTAT